AAGGAATGACTGAGTCCAGGAGCCAGGAGGCTGCTGTGAGCCATGATTATGCCATTGTGCTCCAGCCTGGGTGACAGTGAGATCCTGACTAAAAAAAAAAAAAAAAAAATCACCCACATCTCTTACAGAGGAAAGTTCAGCGACCAACATCCTGCATGAGCTGGCCTCTGTGTTCTCTGACTTCACCGCGTAATCATTTCCCAAGGCCTTGTTCCAGTTGCACTGGCCTCCTTCCTCAAGGCTTTTCCCTTTTAAAATGTTTGCCTGGGTCTCTCTTTTTTTTTTTTTTTTTTTTTTTTTTGAGTTGGAGTCTCATTCTGTCGCCCAGACTGGAGTGCAGTGGTCACTCCCGGCCACTGCAGCCTCGACCCACTGGGTCCCGGCGATCCTTCTGCCTCAGCCTTCCAAGTAGCTGGAACTACAGGCACGCACTACAATGCCAGGCTGATTTTTTTTATTTATTGTAGAGATTAGGTCTCGCCAAGTTGCCCAAATGGGTCTCGAACCCGCGGGCTCAGGCAATCCACTCACCTCAGCCTCCCAAAAGTGAGGGATTACAGGCTGAGCCACCAAGCCCGGCTCACTCTTTTTTAAAAAAATATTTTAATTTTAAAGATGTAGGGTACAATTCAGGGTTAGGTATACACTGGCCTCCTGCCTCAGGGCTTTTCCCTTAAAATGTTTGCCTGGATCACTTTTGACACAAATATTCACATGGCTCACACTCTCATCCCCTTCAAGTCTTTATTCAAACGTCATCTTCTCAGCAAGGCCTTCTCTGAAGACCCTATTGCTACACCCCTACCCCCATCCAGTTTCTCTGCTTTGTCTTCCCCATCACACATATTCTCATATGACTTGATATTTTACTTTCTTATCACCTGTGACATAAGACATATGTATCTGCAGCTGGGCATGGCAGCTCACGCCTGTAATCCCAGTACTTAGGGAGGCTGAGGTAAGAGGATTGCCTGAGCCCAGGGGTTTGGGAGCAGCATAGAGAGCCTTGTATCTACAATAAATAAAAAAAATTAGCCAGGCGTGGTGGTGTGCACCTGTACTTCCAGTTACTTGGAAGGCTGAGATGGAAGGATTACCTGAGCCCAGCAGGTTGAGGCTGCAGTGGCTGTGAGCATGCCACTGCACTCCAGCCTGGCAACAGAGTGGGACTCCGACTGAAAAGAACAAATAAAAAAAGGAAAAAAGAAAATAAATATATTTGGTGTCCATCCTGGTTTCTGACACAGACCTTCTAAAATCCTTGTAATTTCCTGTGGGTGACAGAATTGTCTTACCCAGAGTTCCTAAATCCCTTAGAATTTCCTGGGTGATAGGAGTGTCTTCTGTTCTGCTGAAGTAATTCATAGTGGGCTCTTGGATGGGGCCTGGTCACCAGGGAGACTAAGCCATGATGAGGAGCTTGGAACTTTCAGCCCCAGCCCACATCCTTGGGGAGAGAAGAAGAGCTGGAAATTGCATTATGAACAAGTGGTCATGCCTGCATGACAAAGCCACCATAAAAATTCCCACTATAGGGTTCAGATTGATGAAAGCATCTGTGTGACAGCAATGTGATGTACCCCAACTCCATGGGGACAGAATCTCCTGGGACTCTTTCAGATCTCACCCTAGGTACCTCTTCATTTGGCTATTAATTAATCTGTTTCCATTATAGTAAACTGGTAAATGTAAGTAAATGTTTCTTTGAGTTATTTGAGGTATTCTAGCAGATTATTGAGTTGGGGTGAGGGGGTGTAGGTTGCAGAAACCTCCAACTTGTGACATCTTCTGAAGTGAGGGAGGGCCTGTGGGTCTGAGTTCTTAAAAACTAGGCTGGGCGCAGTGGTTCAGCCTGTAATCCCAGCACTTTGGGAGTTTGCGGGTTTGAGACCAGCCTGGGCAACTTGGTGAGACCTTGTCTCTACAATAAATCACACACACAAAAAAACTAGCCGGACGTAGTGGTGTGCGTCTGTAGTTCCAGCTACTTGTGTCATGTTCAGCTCCATTATTGGAAAAGGACATTATATACAAAATTAAAACTCACATTATTCTTTGCCCTCACAATTGTGCTTTTGGGTGCCTTTTGTTTAACTTTGGATTTCCCTAATAGTTTTATGTTGAATCCTATCTAAGCCCTTCCACTGCTTATAAACTTACTGCTTTGGTTGGAGCTCTAACGTTAGGAAAAATGTAAAAAAGATTGTTGGTATGAGGTATGTTTTTAGTAAGAAAGAATAAAGGAAAGAGAAATAATTGTATAGGAAAAATCTTGTATGGTACATTATAAATGACTGGTTGTTTGAAAAAAGAAAAAAAAAGGAAAGGGAAAGAAAAAAAAGGGTATAAAACAAAAATAGAAGGTTCAAGCATTAAAGAAAAATGGCTTAAGTATGTCAAACATGGT